GTCGCATCTCTCGTCCCATCTTTCTCCACAGCTTTTTCTCCTCCATTAGGATCATCTTTGAGCTCCTGCGCCCCAAATACTGATGTGGCCTCTGCGGCTCAGGTTTCCTTTCCTCTTCTCCTGTCTGTTGCTCTTTCTCTATTCATTGCTCTCTCTCCATCACCTGCATATGGCCCTTCGTCATTATCCCGCCATCTCCTTTCCTTCCCCCCCCCCCCCCCCGCTCTGAGATCCTCTTCCTGCCTTTCAATCTCTTCTTCCCCACCGTGTGCAGATCTCCTTACACGACCTGCATTCCTTACCCTGTTGCCTTGTCCTTCTGTCCCCTGCACTTCATCGGTTCCTATATCCACACCCTGATTGGCTGGCATTCCGACCTCCTGCTCCTCTCGATCCCAATTCCTGATTGGTCCCCTCCCAATCCACGCTGCTCATCCCCTCCTCCGCAAATTGGGTACCCGACCCACATCCCCCTCCCATTTACTTTAGGACCCTCCTCAACGTCTTCCTCCCCCATAACCTTTCTTCACGCCGACAAACTTACACTGCATGCTTCACCCTGTCGCGGTGACTGTCTTTCTGCTTCCTCTGTCGTCGCACCCCATCCTGACCGGCCAAATCCCCACTCTCTCATCCTCCTGACCCGCCATCCTCACCCTCCCCTTTCACCCTTCTCCTGGTACTCCAGCTTCCCAAGATTTCGATGGCGAGCTTCTCCTGCCTGCATGAACAGCCACTTTACCTCCCCCTAAGTCTTCTTTCTCCCCCTGCCTTTCTGCATGCCTGGCATAATCCCCACATAATCCTTCAGATGGCGGCCATGTCCCACTTGCAACATGGCACCCTCACACAAAATGGAGTTGCACCCGTAAATGTGGATGGTGGGAGGAGAGGTGGGATACAGGGAGGGAAGGGGAGAGAGAACGCAGGTGCACTTCACATACGCCGGGGGAACCCACCTATTTGGATTTGGGGCCGAGTGTGAATGGAACCCTCCACCTCTTCACGCTCAAAACCACTAAGGGAGAGAGGGAGAGAGGGAGAGGACGGGAGGGAGGGAGGGGAAGGGAGAGGAAAGGAGGGAGCACTTCGCTAAGCCGCAGGCACTCGCCTACTTCCTCACTAAGCCGGGAGTGAATGGAACACTCCACATCTTCAGGCACAACACCGCAGGCACATAGAGGGGGAGCCAGCCAGACACAGAGAGAGAGAGAGAGAGAAAGAAAGAGAGAGAGAGAGAGAGAGAGAGAGAGAGAGAGAGGCTGCACTTCCGCACGCCCAGGATAAGCATGACTGTGCCAGACTGTTTAGTCGGACTTTCACCGACTCATCAGGAGGTTCAACCCCAACAGCCTGCCCAGGACACCCTGCGAAAAGTGGTGTGTGTGTGTGTGAGAGAGATGGTATTGTGTGCGCACCACTGTGTGTGTGTGAGAGAGTATGTGTGTGTGTGTGTGTGTGTGTACGTGTGTGCGAGAGAGAGAGCCACCACGACCGTCGTTCGACGGTGTCTCCATCTTTTGCCTGTGCGTGTGCGCGAGAGATAGAGAGAGCCACCGCGACCGTTGTTCAAACCGTTCGACGGCGCGTTCAAACACCCGACGCCATGTGCAATGGAATGCGATGAGCAAGGGCCGTGCTTCATTTGGGAGTGTTTAGAGCATCACCATGCCACTCTCGAAATGTGCAAAATGAGAATGAACTTCCTGCTAGAACATGGCCAGATGTGCCCGCCACATTTGTCTTTTTCACATTTCGAAAGTGATGTGGCAAGGCCCTTTCTTGATGTTTCCAGAATCCATGGATCCCTACCATCCGATCTAAAAATCGCACAAACACAACCCCCCCCCAAAAAAGCAGGAACAGCCCGATACTGGGGCTCGACGCACCACTGACCAAACGTGTTTTGATCAGTGGTCCGTCAAGGCCAGAGGCCCAGTATCGGCCCACTATCGTTTATTTCTCCCCTTCTCCTTCCTTTTGTGACAGCTCGCAGGCAGTGGTGCACCGAGGCCCATCACGTCTCGTCGTTGTTTTTTCTACATGGGTTTTTTTTTTTTTTTCCCGCAGTGAGTAGTCGCGCCCTGTAGTGTCCTTTCTTTCAGTCGTTTTTCCAGTCACAATTCCAGGCAAGCCGTCGATAGAGGCCTGGAATTTCGCTGCCTATCGGACGGCCGATCACACAGATGGGCAGAAACCGATAAGGGTAGGTCGCGAGGTAGCAGTACACCCGCACGGGAGAACGCTAATAGAAGGTAGTAGATGCTATCAGCCTCCCTGCAGGCCCCGCACTTTAGCCTTACAGCCTAAAACTGCCTGATGCTATCCTGCCACATGCTGGAATAGGCAAGCACACCTCCAATTTTTGCATCTCCTAAGGCCACTCTGAAATCAAACACACCAGCGAGGTAAACATTCACATCGTTGGGCAGGCCATGAATGCTATCTAGCATATATTTAGGGCATTCTCAGACTTCCTGGACGTACCTGGCCACACCGGTCGCCCAATTCAGTCAACAAAGACCTGGTATTAGCATCCATTTGCAGAAAAAAAAACTACTGTCACAAAAGAACATATGAAAAGCTGAGGCTGCCACACAGAAAACTGGAAGAGCATCTTTGACAGAGGCAAAGTCGTTCACAGTGCGGCACTGGGCACCCAGTGATACATCTCTATGGTTTGGATCATCCCCCTCTCCAAACTGTTTTCCACGCTTAAACCAGCATTACACCAGGCCCTGGAGGCGCTGCACTGCGCCGCACGCTTTTCCGAACCGCCAGCGGCACAGCTCTTTTCTTTTTCCGACTGGTGCCACTAGCCATTGTGATCCGGTGGGCCCGAGCCGCGGATTTCTGCAAGGCTAGCGCCGTGTACTGGTGGTTTAAGAAAGCCGGCTGTCTTTCCTTCTTGGTGCAGTCGCAGAAAATGCCATGCCACGGAGCAGTGGGCTCCCCATGCGCCAGCTGTCTTTCCTTCTTGGTAAAGTCGCAGAAAATGCCATGCCATGGAGCAGTGGGCTCCCCATGCGCACGTCGAAGTACCCAAAGTGTGGCCAGTCAAATGCAGTCGCCTAGGCGGGCAGCTAACAACCAGAAAGGAAAAGAAACCCGCTCGATCCAAAGCTCCTTTAGCATGTCCATCTCATGTCAGATGCAATGTGACAAGGCGACATATACCCTGAAGATGTTGTCACTATTTCATTTGCACCCGTATTCACGTCAGGAACTCTCGCTCCACTACACAACACTACATGCATTGCATTTGGACGCTTTCTGGGCCAGGTGCAACCGGACGAATCCAACGATTCGAATGTATCCAGTCCAGAGATAGTCAAAATGCATGTAGAGCGTTACATAGTGGACCGAGGGCCCTGAAGCCAATCGGAAATAAAGATGGAATCAACTGTGTTAATTTGGAGATAACACTTTGAACATCATTTCAACGGAGGCCTTCCTCCTTCGTGTCGCCGCGAAGTTCAGACTACACTTCTCAGATAATGAACCAACTGAATCTGTAAGCCCTACTCCCTGCACATTATTAATTAATAACCATCAACTAATTATCTATTGAATATATATCGTCAAACAGAGATATAATAATCCCTTGAGTAACGATTGCGCCTCTTGTGATGGTGGGTGGTTTTGGGAGAAACCCCCAAATCAACATCTGAATGGCACATGGTAGACACGTGCAGCTGTCCACAGACAGGTTTGATCTCTAGTGACAGTGGTATAGACCAGGTGCGTTCGACTGCTGAATGATAGAGACCAGGTGCGTTCAACTCCTGAACGGTACATACACTTAGCGCCGAATGAAGAGCTCATGAGATGGGACTCTAGACATGCTAGAAGAGCAACTGCCTTTATCGGAGTCAGTTCAACTCCTGGATGGTACACACACTTAGCACCCAATGAACGGCTCATGAGATGGGACTTCCGAAACGCTAGAAATGCCAGAAGAGGAACCGCCTTTGTGGAGCACAGTGAGTTCATCTTTGTTTCTTTTCTAAACAGGTCATGTGCTCAAACGCTGGATGGTACATACAAGAACCCCTCCGTGCCTCCCTTTATATTTTGCTCCATCTGTGTTCTTTCCTCCTTAGCTCTAGCTAAACAGGTCATGAGTTCAAATCCCGCAGCACACGGTACAAGGACCGCTCCCCAACTCTCTCTGCCTCTTCCCCATTTGCCGTGCCACACCATAGCCACAGCTGGCCTCCGCATTGTCACATCAGAGAAACAGAGATGCTGTCGACTACGCTTCTCTTTCAATTGACCTCTGAGCCTCCGACATCAAATAACATGACCGCAAGGCAAATAGCAGGTGGCCATACCTTTTTTGTCACAATTTTTACCATATCCGCGAGTATATCCTTTCGCGCCACTTCGGCATGGAAGTTGTCGCCACAGTTTTTCATACATGTTTCGAGGACCTGCCAAACATGTCAGCAGAACACAGTAAACACGTGTTCCATTTCCTACAGGACCCCTTCCTTCCCCCCCACACAAAGTACATCAGAGAGATCAACTTTGCTCATTCCATGACACAAGCAAGACAGCCACGAATATGACACACACATGAAAATGGGTCCTAGTGCATTGCTCGGAGAGACCAAGAAGCCGTTGACTAAGAAGATCAGCATAACCTTTAAAAGGAAGCTTCAGGGTCCGACAATTTCACGCCAGTAGCTTTACGGTCAGATAAATGAAGTGAAGACCTGTACGTCAGAACTACGTTGGCAAAAATCAGAAAATCAGAACATCCGTTAAAATTGGAACGATACAGAGGAAGAAGACTAGCATGGCCCCTGCGCAAGGATGACACGCATAAATCAAGAAATGGTCCATTAAGAAAAGAAAAAAAGAAAGTCAGAACTCCACAAGCTGGACGTTTCCAGACAAGGTCTCGAGGAGCTCCAATACCTCCGAGACTAAAAGTTGAACTGTCAAATAGTTATTTGACAGTATTTGACAGTTCAACTTTTAGTCTCGGAGGTATTGGAGCTCCTCGAGACCTTGTCTGGAAACGTCCAGCTTGTGGAGTTCTGACTTTCTTTTTTTCTTTTCTTAGGCAGGGTAAAGGTCTTGGCCTAAGGGTCTGTCTATTCCCAAGGCTAAACTCAAAAAAGAGTCGATGCCCGCAGTGTAAAATAGATCTTGGACACCCTAACATGAAGTGTGACAACAAGTGCGACACCGCAGTATAAAATAGATCTCCGACACCCTAACATGAAGTGTGATGCTGAGTACGACACCTGTACAGTGTCTCATGCAAAGATAAAACAACCAGGCCCTGCATTCAGAATCCCTCCAGCTGTCCATCTTGCTCCACAGAGCCTCGCTACTGAGCATAACGTGGCGAGTTCCTGTTTTCTCACTCATTCAGGTAGGCATTTGTAGAGCAGCACTGAAGCTCTTGCTCTGATGATGCATTGATGTTGTGAGTTAAGGTGGCGAAGAGCAGGCAGTCTGCCATAGCTGAATGGGAAAGAAGTCGTAGGTACTAGGAGGAAGGAATTAGTGGCAAAAATGGCCCCTGGGAAGGAGAGAGCACATCATAACAGAGGCAAAACTGGAGTAGTGACCATAGCTGGGCAAGCAACGCTGGTTGATGTTCGCTGCCGTGGCCACTGGCTTTTTCAATAGGGAGGGTTGGATGGAACAAGGTAGATACACACAAGCCATTCAGGCTAAAAAGGCAGAGAGGTGTAGGTTTCTTTCATTTGCACCTTCAAAGGGCTGGGAGGCTGGGATTCGAGTGATAGAGGAGTCAATGTAACTCGTTTAAACCACCAGTACCTTTCTCAGCCATAGATGCCAAGCCTAAAATCGCCCTGCGCGCCAAAGAAAAACGAACCGGCGCAGGACTCGTTTTGGCTGGCACTGCCAACCGGTTCGGCAGCACCGAACCCCGCCGGCCTCCCACATTACCCGGCGCGTCTCGGCAAAATATCTCGGAAAGGTACTGGTGGCTTAAACAACCAGTACTTGGCCCAGCTATCAGCCGCGGAAAAAAATAGAGTAGAAACGTTTTTAGTTGGATGAATTTGGGTGCTCCTGTAGTGGCCCGTACGTTTCCTAAAGTCATGGCGCATTAACGGGCACGACTCTAGGAAGTACTGGTGGTTTAAGGTTAAACGACCATAGGAAGCTCATCCTTTTTCAAATGATCTTAGAACCTATCTGTGAACCCCACTTTCCCACTTATTCACATTCACATGGCTTCACATCGGGAGGAAGGGCCTACACCTATCATGGTGCTCAATGGTATATTGATGAAGGCTGAAGGCCCTGTACAGATAAATCATGGAACTCTGTAGAAGATCACACCGCAAACAGCCTGACATAAACGGATTCTCAAACTAATCTGCCCCAGACTACAAGCTTTTTTCATATTCACACGGAGAGATTGAAGAGGCAACCATAGGCACCACCCGGCTATAATGGTGACAGGGGTTACAATGGGACAAGTGTTTGAGAAGCAGGGTCACTGACGGGAAGAGGGGAAAGCTTGGCATGAGGAGGGGAGGTTCCCATCGGAAAGATCTAGAACCGAGGTCACAAGATTTGCATGGAAGGAGAGGAGCTTCAGAAAGGAGGCAGGCTTGGATTGTAAGGGAACCGATGGTGGTGGTGGTTTGGGGTGGGGGAGACTGAGAGGAAGAAGACAGTGGGAGTCCCGTGGGGTAGCCTTCCCCTTCTTCATCCTTCGTTCTTTTGCGGCATTGAAGATGTGCGTCAACAAGCACCACAAGTGTCAGACCCAGCAGCTGCCTCCTCTTCACCTTTCCTCCTCGCTTTTTCTTCCTCTAGCTGTTTCCCCCTTTTTTCTTCCTTCCCTCCCTTGTTTCCCCTCATTTTTCCTTCCCCTTTTCCTCCTACCTTCCCCTTTTCTCCCTCCCCCCCTTCTTCCTACCTCCTCCTCCTCCCCCTCCTCCTCCTCCGCCTCCTCCTCCTCCTCTTTCCCCTCCTTATCCACTCCCCTTGTCCTCCATGTCACTCTGGTGATGATTCTTCTCTTTCCTCCAGACCACTGCCGAGCAACAACAGGTATTCAAAATAAATGCAACAACCTAGCAGCACAACTCTTTCCACTATTTACCTTCACTGCACCATGACACAATGGCACAGTGCGCTTTTCAGAGCAGCTACACGGCCCCTATTGCGGCATTGCCTTCTTTCAATCAAGCACACTGTAGCACCAAAAGTGGCCGTAGACTGGTACGGCCAGGTTATTTTACTATGTCCTACCGCACAACCCATCCATGCAAGAAATGCAACAGATTCAAAATCAACCGACACAACAACACCTCCCAAATGACAACAGCCCCCAGCATCCGCACCTGGCACACCAGCCTTTCCAGACACTTGCTGAGACTCCAAGAAATCAAAGAGGAATGGGCTAAGCTATGAAACGACGAACACTCTGCACGTAGAGCAGCATCCAAACAATCTACCTTGACATTACTGAGTCATCACTTCAACCACTTTCCTGTGTCCACCATTTTGGGGTCGAGGACTGTCTGTCCTGAACCACCCTTCTTTGCCATTCATCCTTTCTTTAGCAACAAGTACACCCAACCTCACACTGAGCTCTCCCACATACACATCACCCATGCGATTCCCTCTGTTTACTGGTTCAAGCCAGCCCCCAGGTGAGCAAACGTACCGTAAGCGCTAGAAGCTGGACTTTAGGGTTTTTATTACCCAGCCGTCTCTTTAGCGCTTTCACTACATCCTTCACTGCCCTGTGTGCGAGTGGCAAAGCAGACAGCCAAACAGCAAACAATTTCATTGGTCACTCCTAACAGCACCAAGCCCGCCCTGGCTTGTCCTGCATCTCAAACATACGCACAAGAAGCAAACTGCCGTGTACTACACAACTGTTTTCTTTGCATTTCTATCCCAAGGCCAGCGTGATATGAGAGTTAGCACACCCAAGTACATTCTGGAAACCACCAGCACCAGTGAGGCGGTTTTTACCTCGAGAGAATTTTCCCGTCATGAATCAAACCTGCCGCAGTAGGGCACTACACAGAGAGCGGTGTTTCTTCTCCACAGCCGTGAGTTCCCGTCAGCCTGCCCGCATTGGTGGCTTAACCTTCGTGCTTTTCACATTACCATTACATTCCTGCATTTACTTCCAAAGTTCAGATCCGCAAACCCTGTACGCCATACACTTTTTCCCAAGATGACATCTTACCCTTTTTCACTGTTGAGCCATGCACACAGACCAGCTAATGTAGGATGCACGCCGAGTCCCATCTGATAGAATCTACCTACCTTCTCGAACACCACCACGGCCTTTTACAACAGCCAGGGTTACCAGTCGTTCCGTCTGCATCGGTTGGATCGATTGTTCTGCAGGTAAACCGTTATCTTGACGAACACATTTTGCCGATTGACATCAGCAGAACGGCAGACTACAGCCCTGAAAAAGGGAAACCGTTGCATCTTCAACAAGCACCACATACTTCAGTGTAAAATGCACTACCTTCTTCCCCCCAAAATAACGCACCATGATAATGAATGCATACAAGCTAACTTTCCAGTCCAATACAGTCCAAATGAGGGTGTGTTGTGTTCGGGGGAAAATAGTAGCAGCATAGCCATACATATTTGGGTGTGTTGTGTTCAGGGGAAAACGGCAGCCATACATATTTGGGTTTGTAAGGAGGACTGGAAAACCAACATCATTAAGTAGATCGCTTCAAAGACTAAAAAGCTGGAATGCAGGGTTGTTCCTCCCCTTCCCCCGCTCCCTCGTGAAAGAAGTCCGCCAGGCCATAACTGGCCTTAGCAGCACTCCGTAAGAATCAGACAGACAGACAGACAGACCAGTATGCATGCAATATCCATAGCTTCCAGGGCTAGGACAACAATCCAAAGGTTTTCACACAGCACCAAAACTGGTTTTCTATGGGAGCTTTGGAAAGCCTGATGGTTTTATGGTTCGGTGGACCACCCCCCTGACGAGAGAATTGAAGGCACAGCACACCCCCTGGTTCGTGAACACTGAACAGCCAACTCGCTGCACATCTCAGCCGCATATTACGGTCAGTTTACGGTCTCAAACCACCACTACCTCCTGTAAGGGTGGTCCAACCCGCAGACAGAAGAAAGAACTTTGGTTATCAGACCATCGATCCAACAATACCATGTGCAAAACCGCTGGACCTGCTGGAACCCGCGGTGGTTGTGACAGGTCGATCTGATTTGAAAGGCGGTAGACCGTCACTTTTTGTTTCAATTTCCTCCTGGGTGGGCTTACTGTTTTGTCTTTGCCGCGAATGGCAAATGTATTCAATACACAAATCTAGCCATTATATTTGTCTTCCCCCCCCCCCTCCCCCCCCCTGCTCATAGAACTAAAGCTAAGCCGTACAGGCAAAAGAGCGGGTATAGCCACTACATGGAGAGCCTATGTGCACAGCCACTCCAAAAATGAAAAACAAAGAAAGACAATGGAGGCCAGAGGTAGATGCAGAGCAAACTACAATAGAATTGACCATCACAAAGATTCGCAAGTGATAATGAAGGATAGAGAGATCGAGACTCCAAGAAAATGAGAAACTTAATTATGCTAAAACGAGGAACGTCAAACGTGCCAAGAGTAACGAAAAGAGAATATGAAACAAGCGAGAAAGTAGCGAAATAAGAAGTTGACTTGCAGCTCACATGGACACCGTCAATGTCATTATTGTGGCATCCAGTGCATGGCATCCTCTACTCAATCGACTTGTTGGTTCTCTCGATGTAACTTCACGATACAACTTGATGATCAGCACAGGCAACTAAAGACAGTAAAAGAGCTCAAGAGTTCATGACTGTACGAAGAATAAACCTTGTTGGTCGTTATTCGAAGGAGAGCTCGAGAGCTCATCAGGGTGAGTTGGGGTGAGAGTTGCGGTGAGTTCATAGCCGAGGACAGGATCGAAAAGGGGCTGCCAACAGTGGAGGACTTGGCCCGTTTTGAGGAAGGATCCTCAAGGGAAGTCACATTTTGACAATGTGGTGTTTCATCTATAAATGTACCCCTTGTGTTTCATGCCCCTGAGATGATGTCGTACTTGTCTGGAAGATCACTGCTCGTCCTCCAACATCGGGGGGGGGGKGGGGGGGGGGTCGAATCCCTCTTCCACCAGTTAGTGGATAGATTCATAAAGCTGATAAGATTGTGTCCTTTCATATGCAGAAAGCAACGAGGCAGGCAGGGGAAAGCAAGCAAACTCTACAGAGGTAGACTAGCTGGCTAACGTCTTCACCCAAATAAAACGCCTGCTCATCATCGCTGCATCTGGTCTGAAAGTTGCCCCAAATACAGCTATAATGACCGGGTGTTCCATTCGGGTGAAGACAGTAGCCTGAAGAAGAGACGAATGGATGGGCAGGGACACATCAATGCAAGTGCCCCTAACATAGCGAGGGCATAGGAATGAAAACAGACAGCATAGCGTTGCCCGCATGTTCGTGACTATGTCTGCAGTCCTGTTACTGTGAGCTGTATCTTGCATCTTACATTGCTTGTTGGATTGCTTTCTCGTGTGACTTGTTTGCTGTAAAGGTTGTTGATTTCGTTGCTGATTCTGTTCTTGGTTCTGTAGAATTGTGTATATGTTTGCACAGAACTTCAAGCCGAGGTGGAAGGGTTAGTAGGCCGCTGCCCCGCTCCGCTCTTGTGGGGATCATGGTCGCCTGGACTTGATACCTGGCCAGAAGAGCTGAGCTTAATCATTTTTCTTGTGGCACAGAAACTGGGTTCTCGAACCTGGGCGGGTAGTAGCTTGGTGGTTCTTGTGGTGATCGTTCTCAGCTGGACTTCGTCCCTGGCAGCAGAACCAACCGTTCATCATGTTTCTTGTGGCATAGGCACTGATTTTCTAACCTGGGCAGGTAGGCCGACAATTCCGTAGGTTCCAGGCATTGCCTAAGAGTTGTAGGCAGAAAGGTTACAAGGCAGGATATCATTTTTCGACAAAACTGTTGTCAGCGAATACGCCAATCCATTCTTGGCATTTGAAAGTCAAGCGAGAGGGGATGCATTTTCGCTCATCGGTTTGTGATGGCAAGATGAGGGTGCGGCCATAAGCTCCTTAGCTGTTCGTTACGGTTATGTTGTCTGGTGACCAGGTGACCACAATTCTCCATTGGCATGACCAAGTTCCTGGCTATTTATGTCCGGAAACCAGTTTCGGAGATTCCAAAGAAGTGTGTGGGATAGCGTGTTCAATGCCAGCGAGTGTGAACATCTCAATTCAATCGAACACTGCAGGATTCTAGCAGAGCATCCTCGCAGTCTTTTACTTAGCTCCTCCTTTCAGATGTATCCCCCTGTACGTTAAGAAACCAGCTTTGGATTCTGACACCCCACTTTTTCAACTCTTCCTTCTCCTCTCCCCCCCCCCCACCTACCACAACAAAAAAAACAACATTTGAGGGGTTTGAAAAGACCTCCAGATACCCCTTGAGGGTTCTTTGCAGTTCTGCAGGCCGTCCGCAGGCCTTGAGTGCAGTTTTTCTCTTTCCTTTTTTTTGGGTTCTTTGCAGTTCTGCAGGCCGTCCGCAGGCCTCGAGTGCAGTTTTTCTCTTTCCTTTTTTTTGGGGGGGGCGCGGGGGGAGAGGGGGAAGGTTGTGTCACATGAGCGAATGGCTCACTAAATCTTGAGGGTTTGGGTGGTTTCAAGACAATGTACGCCTTCAGAAGCACTGATTTCTGTTGACGGATCTCGCGCTGAGGATCTCCTCGTTTCGTTGAAAGAAAACAATGTCGACTTACGAATTCTTCATGGTAATGATGTTCTATCGGACATTCCCTCCCTCTCAGCGAGAGATTCACATAGTTCAAACCCTGTTTTTTTATTATTATAAGCCCTAATTTTTGTTGGCGGGTACACATACATTGTACACACGCTCCACCTTACCAAGGTGGTGATCCCAATGAATCTGGTCTTGGAGGATAAGATGAAATAGGACCTGCAACACAGTCCATTCACCTGCTCAGACTGCCCACCACTCTCCGGATGGCTGGCTGAGCTCATGCTTGAATCTCATTCTGCATCCAAGTGCGATCAAGCTCGCTGCTGAACAGGCAGCGGCAGCCAAACAAAATGTCTACAGGGAACCAGAAATCTTCAGTGTGCACATCTGCAAGCCTATCAACAAAGCCATCGCCGTTTCAACAAAATCACACCCGTGAAGTCTTATCTTCCCAACAACATACCCGCAACACAGTTGCACTCTACCTTCTTTTGCTTTCCACCTTGCCAGTTTATCTACAATTATGATTGTATTGTCTAGTGGTCCGAGTAGACCTTGAAGGGGTGCCCTAGCAAATAATGACACCACGTGCATAGGGCGTAGTACAGAGCGCACAGTGCCCACTCTTAGGTGGTTGCTGCCACTCTCTTTCCAGGCACACAGTTTGACAAATACTCCACAGATTGTAGGCCGTCCGTCATTCCACAATGTTGCAATCCCCAAACTGCTTGCCGCTTGCGGTCAGCACAAACAGTACAGCAAGGTCCAAAACCTTCAAGGTGGGTATATATGAGTCGATCCTAGACCCTTCGCTGGATCGATGGTGCAGAACATAGCTTGCACTGGAACGATACCAAGGAAAGACCAGACCTATTCATCCTTGAACATGGCCAATTCGTTGCGACTCCACCTTCTCTGTCGCAGGTCACTCTCAACACCCATATAAATTACATGCACAAGGTACAAAGTCTCACTCTTCCCGAACTTGCTCTTCTTCACATCAAGTGTTTGCAGTACACGACCGCGAACTGATCAAGATGCGGCAGTTGAAGTATTGTGGGAGCATTCGTTTAACCGATAACCGCATCACCATTAATACATAGCTGCCATATCTTGTCCGAAATGCCCTCTTGTGTTGGTCTGCAGGTTCCCCAAAATCCGAAATGCCCTCGTGTTGGTCTGCAGGTTCCCCCTCAACTTTATGATACCTACTCTCCAAATCAAACTTTGAGAACCCTTTGCACCCCTGCACCGTCAAAGAGATCATCGATGTTTTGGAGCAGGCTAGATCCACACGACTATGAAGGCATTGTCATTTCATTTTATTACCACGATCCTGCAGCTGACCAAGCCTCTTGCCCACAAAGTTCAATGCAGCAACATCATACTGATCTGCATACCATAGGACCACCATCACCTGCTTCGCACCCTTCATTCAGTCTTCTACATGCGGTACCAACCACCATTGAAAGTTGTTCAAGACCACCTAAATCAGTGCGAGTTTGCTGACAAAATCCTCATATG